TTAGCTCAGAGCTGGTCTTCCTCAGCAAAAAGAGGAGGATTGGCATGGATGTTAGCTCAGGGCTGATCTTCCTCACAAAAAAAATAAATAAATGTTATGTTCAGCATTTTAGTTGTTTTTCGATAGAAGGGCTAGTCAAGGCACCTGGACCGTTGTTTTGCAAGAAATGGTATACACCTTTGACAAGTTTTCTTCCGTTCTCCTCTCCTTTTAGTTATGGGCTTTTAGTCACTCGCCTCTCATTTAGTGATTCCTAGTTGACTCTGTTCCAGTCACCATTTCTGTGCAATGAACTATCCCAAAACTTAGTGGCTGAAAACCACAACTCTTTTGTTATATCTGACAGATTTTGTAGGTTGGGGATTTAGTCAGAGCTCAGCTGGCTGATTCTTCTGCTCTTCATGAGGTTGATTCAGGTCACTCAGTGTTACTCAGCTGACAGGTGGGCTGCTCTGGAGGGTCCAAGATGGGTCCTTTACATGCCTGGTGTCTTGGTGAGGATGGCTTCAAGGCTGGGCTCAGCTGGGGCCGTCCACCAAAGCACGTACATGTGGCCTCTTCAGCATAGTTGCCTCGAGTTGTCAGATTTTTTACATGGTGGCCAGCTTTCCCCAGAGCAAGTGTCCCAAGAGAACCAGGTAGACGCTGCATGGCATTATCTGACCCAGCTTTAGAAGGCACCCAGCCTCACTTCCACCATGTCCTATTAGTTACAGGCAGATCAAAAGGTCAGCACAGATTCAAGGAGAGGGGAATTAGCTCTACTTCTCAATGGGACAGTGGTAAAGTCATATTGCAGAAGAACATGTAGGCTGGAGGTATTATTGCCGCCATCTTTGGAAAATACAGTTGGCCACATCCACCATCCCCAGCTATGTTATTACTCAAATGCTGAATTTCAGAAAGGCAGGTGGGGGTGGCCAGGTAAATGCGTAAAAATCACAGCAGGTGCAAAGTGTGCAAGCAGTGAGAGTCTAAATAATTAACCACCCTCGTGTGGAAACTAAATTTTTCATTCCCTAGATATAGTCCTTTCTAACTCTCGTCTGTTGTTGGAAGGTAAAACTCGTCCATCTTTAGCTATAACAGAGAGGACTTTTCTTTTTGATTTTGTGTTGAAACAAGAATAGATTTTTGTGCTGGACTTCCAGGCAGCAGGGGAGATGTACTTGGTCAGGTTTTCTTTTGCAGGGTCAGTGTCTGTGCACAAGTCCTTTGAAGGCACATGACTTTCGCATCTCCCCTGCAGATCGAACTTTGAGCCCCAGAGCACAGCCAGAGGTCCTCTCTACTCACATGTGAGGCTCATTCTCTCCCTCTGACATTATCACTCTCATTTCTTCCGAGAATTTTGAAGGTCTAACGGACAGCGTTTTTAGAACTGGGTTTGTATTGTAGTTTTTTTTTCCCCTCGGAAAAAAGTAAGAATGATTTCTTTTAGATAGAAAAAAATATGTACTTTTTAAAGATAGAAAATAGA